CTGCTGCACTCCCTGAAGGAGGCCATCAGCTGCTCCCCAGCTGACAGCCTCACGCCTTACGTGGAGGATATCTGGGCTCTGCTCTTCAAGCACTGTGAGTGCACAGAGGAGGGCACACGCAACGTGGTGGCGGAATGCCTGGGGAAGCTGACTTTGGTGAACCCTGCTGAGCTGCTGCCCCGGCTGAGGAAACAGCTGTCAGCAGGTAACGGGTAGGGCAATGACCAGAGCAGGAAAATAATGCCTTCTGATGGGAATTCATTTTGTAAACTGCTTGTGGCTACAACAGGGAGCAAATCCAGTTGAGAGGAGAGCAAGTAACAAGATGGATCTCTCTGCAAGGAGGATCAGAGGAGCACTGGTCTGCACAAGAGCAGGAAGGTGAAGGGAACAGGGACTACACAAGGAGATTGTGCAGGAGTAGTAGATTCAAACACAGAGTTGATAAGAAGAATCCTCTACTCCCTTATAACACATGTGTAACAGGATCAAGGACAGAATATGTACTACAGAGTTACAGCAGTGATTTTCTCCCTTTATTTTTCACTGTTTTTCTTCCCCTCTTCATTGCAGGCTCCCCACATGCCCGGAGCACGGTGGTTACTGCCATCAAGTTCACGATTACAGACCAGCCTCAGCCTATTGATGCTCTCCTGAAAGGCTGCATAGGTAGGCTGGCTTGGACAGGTGTGTGGACTGGGGGCATGGGAGGCTGGGTGTTGTTAGCACCTCAGGGATTTTCCATTCCTGTGTGAACCTCATCTAGTCCAGTTAGTTTTTATCAATGTTTCTCAGCTTTTGGGATTAAACAGCAACCCTTGCTAACTGCACTGATGCATTTCTCTTGGGCTTGTTCCATTATTTTTTAGAGTGCTTAAGTTCTTTCTGCATGTAAACTCAGAATTCCAGCACCCCACAAAAAGGATCTTCAGAAGTATAACCTACACGAGGAGTGTCTGATGTCCAGGGAGCCCACAAAAGGATCTGCTGTATAAAACTGGCCCTTCTGTTTCAGAGAAGTTTGATCAGATGGGATCTAAGCAAGAAAAATCCCCCACAACTTCCTTGAATAACAATGCTTCTGATTTGACTTTAGGGTAGAGTAGCTAGAGTCACATCATTTGTTTTTATGCCCAAATGCAGGAATCATGTTTCTTTGCTGTATCCCAAATGGAGGGAGAGAAAGCATCTCAAATGGCTCTGACAGACTGTGCTACTAGTTATTTTACCATAAATGCTCTCATAACCAGCCTCCTTGAAATACATCCCAATATATTTTAAATTACTGCAAAAATGTTGCAGCCTGTTGGCTGCAGGACTGACTGATGTGCTCTTATCCCACAGGTGACTTCTTACAAACTCTGCAAGATCCAGACCTGAACGTTCGCCGTGTGGCTTTAGCCCTGTTTAATTCTGCTGCTCACAACAAGCCTTCTTTAATCCGGGACTTACTGAACTCAGTCCTCCCCAGCCTGTACAATGAAACCAAAGTGCGGAGGGAGCTCATCCGGGAGGTAACTGGGCTCTGCGGGGGGCACACGGTGACTCACAGCAGCCTGCAGAGCCCCGAAGGAAGGAGCTGCTGCTGTCTGCTCTTTGGTGACAGCTGTACTGTTCGTCTTGGTTCAGGTAGAGATGGGGCCATTCAAGCACACAGTGGACGATGGCCTGGATGTGAGGAAAGCTGCTTTCGAGTGCATGTACACCCTGCTGGAAAGCTGCCTGGACCGGCTGGACATCTATGACTACCTGAACCACGTGGAGGATGGGCTGAAAGATCACTATGACATTCGGGTAGGTGCTGTGCCCTGACTGGTGTCATGTTCTGTGTGGGGCCTGAGCTGCGATCGGGCTGTGTATCCCCAGAGCCGTCAGCCCTTTGCACACACCCGGGCCAGCTGCAGCTCCAGCCCCTGGCTGCCAGGGGTGCGCCTGCAGCTCTTAGCAGAGCCCCTTACACAAGTGCAGAGGAGCTAAGCAGAGTGCGGGTGCAGCCCAGCTGGGTGCCCCAGAGCCCCCACACGTGTTCTCCCCTCCTGCCCAGATGCTGACGTTCATCATGCTGGCGCGGCTCTCGGTGCTCTGCCCCAACGCTGTGCTGCAGCGTCTCGAGCGGCTCATCGAGCCCCTCCGGGCAACCTGCTCCACAAAGGTAAGAGCAGGATCGTGCAGGCCCGGGCTGGGTCCTGCCCAAAGCTGCCTCTGCTCCTGGCCTTCTCCCTCAGTGCTGCTGAGCACCCGCTTCCCTCACTTCCCCAGCTGGAAAATTCTCTGCTGGCCTTTGCTGCTCTCTTGGTTCTGTCCCTGTATGGGCTTTTCTAAATGCCAACTGAAAACGGGGCTTTGGATTTGCAGGTGAAAGCTGGTTCGGTGAAGCAGGAGTTTGAGAAGCAGGATGAGCTGAAGCGCTCAGCCATGCGGGCAGTGGCTGCTCTCCTCACCATCCCTGAGGTGGAGAAAAGCCCAGCAATGGCTGAGTTTTCATCCCAGATCAGATCCAGTCCTGAAATGGCATCACTTTTTGAGAGCATTCAGAAAGATTCTGCTTCCCTCCCTGCCTCAGAGTCAATGGACATGAGCTAAGATGTTTCTCCCCACCACCCTCCTGCCTTGGGATGCCTCAGCCAGACACCAGCCGGGTGGGGAAGAAAAAATGTCACTGGGCTGCTCTTCTGCCACAGCCAAGTCCCAGTCCCTGGGCAGCCCCAGCAGAAACTGGGGACGGTGTGTTAAATGTGACACCTGGACGTGACTGGCTTGATCCAGCTGCCTTCCTATCAGACACCTCAGAGAATTGGAATGAGACCTGAGATCAGGGAACACAGCCTAACATAGGGGAGGGGCTAGAAGATGAATATTCCCATTTTTTTCAGGAAGTTTTAAGGGGTGCACAAAGCAGTCACAGTTGTGGTTCCATGAACAATGGAAATTGCTCCCTCAAATACTCCTTACTGCAGTACAAAGGTTTTTAATCACTGCACATGCACTTTCTACCTTAAATTGCCCAAGAATGTATTTATAGTGTTTAACTACAAAACATGGCTAAAAACTGGAAGCCATGTAGTAATGAGTTCATCCCACAGGCCTTTTGGGAAAGAAGACTTGCACCTGCCAAGCTGCTGAGGCTGCACAGGGCAGGGGGGCTACCCAACACCCCCACCCTCCTCCCGGGGCTCCAGTTTGGCATTTGTGCAATATGAAGCTTTGTTGCTTGGCTTTCATATTTATGGTTTTGACTGCAAAATACCTCAGCCATCTTCCCTGATGGATGATTACTGTTTCAGTGACAAACTCTGCTTAAAGCTTTGCTTTGCACTAACACTGGCTTCTCTCTCCCCTTGGAGCACCTTGGTGTTGGTGTCACCAGTCACAGGGGTCTGCTGGTCAGTGTCAGTCACAGGGCTCAGAGGTGGCAGGCAGGAGCCAGGGGTGCAAGCACACAGCCCAACACAGCCCATAGCAGCTGCTATGCTCAAATCCTGCTTTGTGCAAGAGAAAATGCCTTAAGAGACAAAGGTTCTAACAGCCAACCAGAAGATGAGGCAATCATGACACATTGCTCTAGCCATGAACTGCTCTGTGCTTTTTTTTCTCTTTTGACAGAGTGGTTGATGTGAATAGTGTTTATAGTGCTGTGTGAAAGGATATCTGTTGTCTGGGTGGTATAGAAAATAAAATACACTTTGAAGCTGTGTACCCTGAGTTCCCTGACCATCACCATGACACTGCTCCTAGAGTACCCGACAAGCAGAGCCCTGAAGCCAAACACAGGCTGCTGCCCCTCCTGTGCCCATGCAAAACAGAACCCAAGTTGGACTGAGGCTTTATTAAATACACCTGTGCTGCAGAGGCTGCTACTCGTTCTCCTCGCTGCGCAGTCTGGCGTTGGGGTTGGTGATCTTGATGGCGAGCTGTGCAGCTCTCTCCACGATCACCTTCCTGTTCTTCGAGGACACGTTGTGGGCAATCTCTGCACAGTACGACCTGTTGGAGACACACAGCGTTGGCCTTGGCTCCAGCAGCACCCAGAGCTGAGCTCAGGGCATCACTGCACGGGCACTGAACCATGACTCCCACCCTCACTGGCCTGAAGCAGGAGCTCCCTTCCAGAAAAGCTCATCTTTTCCTGTGAATGACTCAGTCAAAGGCAGTCGATAATTATTGTTCTTACTACTTTGTAGCAAAAACAAGCACTGGAGCAGACTTGTGCCCAGGTCTGACCCAGAGCCCCAGTTCTGACTGAGGTTACCAGTGATGTGGCACAGCCTTGCTCGCCACCATTCTGTATTTTTGCCAAGGGGATGAGACTGCCAGCCCCAGGGCCTCTCTGTGCCCCTACCCTCCAGCAGCCATTCACTGAGGGAATAGTGAGGGCATCTACACTCTCAAAGCAATGATTTTCCTCGTTTCCCCCGACCATGCCACCTTTCCCAGGTGGGAGTACAGCCCCCACACACTCACTTGTTGCTCATCATCAGCACTTCCAGCTCTTTTACATTGTGGACCAGGAACTTTCTGAAGCCTGTGGGCAGCATGTGTTTTGTCTTCTTATTGCTGCCATAGCCGATGTTGGGCATCAGGATCTGTCCCTTGAAGCGCCGGCGCACTCTGTTGTCGATGCCTCTGGGTTTGCGCCAGTTGCGCTGCACAAATGCAGAGAGCAGTTACAAAACAAGACCACCCTGACCACAGCTGGCGTGAGGGCTGCCCACACCGGCCCCACACTCCCTGCCCAGCTGCTGCAGCTTGGCACCATCCTGCTGGACTTTCCTTCACCACCTAAACCAAAGGCACCCCAAAAGTTCCTGTCCTGGGGAAGCTGCTGCAACTCCTCACCTTGATCTTGACATAGCGGTCAGACTGGTGCCGGATGAACTTCTTGGTTCTCTTCTTGACGATCTTGGGCTTCACGAGAGGCCTGAGGGCAGGCATGGTGGCTGCGGGACAGAGCGGGGTGAGCGAGGGGCGTGCCCCAGGTGCGGTGCAGCTCCCCGGGCCACGCGTGTCGCAGACTGCCTTCCCCCAGGGGCCACGGGCGGGCCGGTGAGGGAATGGGTCTTCATCTGCTGGGGCTCTTCCTCCCGCCTCCGAAGCTGGCAGAGCACTGGGAGCTCTCCAGATGCGATCCTGGGAGGTGCCGCGGTGTTATCCCCGCGGGCCTGCGATGCTCCTGCCCGGAGCCCGGCGCGGCACGCCGTGGAGACCAACAGCGACCGAGACCCCCCGGCTCCGCCCGCCCACGCTCCAGAGGCCCCGGCCCGGCTGGTGACCGAGCGCGGCCGCGGCGGCCCCGCCGCCCGGGAAGGGGCACGGGTGGGCCCCCAGCGCCGCCCATCCTCCGCAGGCAGAGGACCGGTGCCAGCCCGCGGGGGCCGCTTTCCGCGCCACGGGGAAAAGATGCGGCGGAGGGGAAGGGAAAGGGAGGAAACCGGTCCGTGCCAGAAGCGCCGGGGCCCGGATGGCCTCGGATGGCGCGGCCGGGACTCACCGGTGCCGATGGCGCGTCCACCGCGGGCCGGGCGAGAGAGGGAGGGGCCCCGCGCAGGCGCTTATGGGACAGGCGGGCGGTCCTGGCAGGGCCGTGTGGCGCTGCGGCCGCGCACACAGCGCACCGGGCACCGGCGGGGCGGCGCGGAGGCCAGCCCGCCGCCGCGGCGAGGTGGCACCGGGCAGGAGGCTCAGTCCGGCAGGGCGCCCAGATCGGTGCTTCCCGCCCACGGCCACGGACAGCGCGCCTGGTACGGGGCTGCCAGGACCTGTCTGCGTCACAGCGCAGGCTGTGCCCGCCAGCTGCTTCCGCCAGTGCGGGCGGGCGGGCGCCACCCGGCGGCGCGGCGGAGCCGGCCGGGCCCGCTCGGGCGCCGCAGTCCCGGAACGGCGCAGCACGGCCCGAGGGACCGAGAGCGGCCCCGGCTCCGGGAGCCAGAGCCCGCCTCGGGCCCTCTCCTGCCGGAGCGACACGGGGCCCGTCCCTGCATGAGACTGGGAAGGCGCCAGTAGCTCCGGCGGGCCGGGCAGCGGGCACGGAGCGGGGTCTGCTCCGTCCCGGGCTGCTCCCTGCACACGCTCTCTCCCTCAGCCCGTGTCCAGCAGCACTGAGATCAGAGCCCGACTGCTCCGGGCCCGGGACAGTAACGGTGGGCACTGGATGGCTGTGCCCAGCGAGCCCCCAGCCCGGGCACGCAGCTGCGGACACAGAGCTGCACTGCAAGAAGAGACAGCCACTACAAAACAGGGACACGTTTATTAAAAAAATAGCAACGACTCTAGCCATGACATCACAGAAATATTTACACCCAGAGCTGTGAGGGCACCCGAGGGGAGGTGGTGGGGCCAGGAAAGCCCCAGCTCAGCTCAGTCGATGCTCAGCCTCTCCCGGTTCTCCCACAGCCACGTGTGGTACACGTTCAACTTGTGGTCCTGTGGCTGCACCTGAGACACAGGGAAAATGTAAAATATTTACTAAAACACCTTAAAATATCTCATTGCTCCAACATTGTGAGTGTTGGTTTTCCAGTGCCAGGGGTCGGTGGGCACAAGTGAGACCCGAAGGGCACCACCCACCTCCTTCCACTCGTTAACACAGAAGATCCTGTAGGAGTCGTTGCCGTACTTGCCGATGCCGTGCAGCTCGATCGGGTACCGCCACGCCTTGCTCAGGTACTCACCTGCGGGGCAGGGCACAGCACTCAGCACCCGCACACACACGCCTGCCCTTACTGCCTGCACACAGGAGCACCCTGTGCCACTGTTACATGACTTCAGCACATTTCAAATGAAAACCAAATGCACCAGGTGTTTCCTGGTGCACGCAGACCGTGAATCCCCACGGGTTAATCTTAAACTGTGGTGTTTACATTCTCTGTTCAGGGAATGTGAATACCACATTAAACTGCTTTTCAACAAACCACCGTGGGAGTTTTAATCATAATCTCTCTCATCTGAACAAAATTCTCCTCTGCAGGTTCTGAGTATAGAATCAGAAAAATCCCAGGTGGAAGGGCCTTCTGCAGGTCACCAGAGCAACCCTGAGCAGAGCCACCCTGTAACAGTGCTCAAACACAGCAGCAGTGCTGCAGGTGCTTGGGTCTCTTCTACTCCAGCCAGTTTCTGGTCTCCTGCAGAACACACCGTGGCTGGCATTTCCCTCCCAGTTCAGACTGAGATCAGCAGCTTTGCCTGTGTGACACCAATGGATCCCAAGTGCTGCACAAAATAGCCACCAACCCACCCAATCCTCAGAGCAGCGTTTGCATCGAAGCTGTTTGTCTTTTGCCAGCATAACCAAGATGGTTCCAGATGTCAGGAAAACCCACCCGAGAACCTGATGATGGTTTTGGCTCTGAGTTCGTAGAGGCCCAGAGGTTTGAGCAGCTCTGACATTTCTTTCCAGTCTGCAGCCCTGGCTACCTCAGGAGAAGGATACTTCTTCAGGAACTCCCAGAGCACCGGAATGGCCATTTTCCCTGGTGAAAGAATCCGTGAGCAGGACGCTGGGATTGAGTTCTCCTTCTGCACTATCCATATGCTTTCCCAAGTGAGCTTTTCCACGGTAAGGTACCAACTAAGGATTATTATTTCACAGTGACACACGTTAAAAAAAAATCAATTATTTCACTAATGCCATTAAAACTGGCAGCTGTTTCAGCCCTGTAACACCTCCCAACATCTACACACCTATTCCTGCTACTCTGCTTACCTGAAGTTTTGTTGAGAAATATGGTGGCAATGAGAAGCTTCCATGGATCATGGAAGAGTGTTTCCTGGATAAGATTGAAAGGAGAACGTGGAGGAGTCCATTTTCTGAGGGCCTTCCTTCTGGGTGGGCTGAGGGCTGTACAGGGGCAACACAGGAACATTTATTAGACAGCGAAGGATGGCTTTACCTATTTAATGAAAAAAAAAAAAAAAAGAAGACCTCTGAAGCATTATTGTGGAGGCACTGTGCATAGATGGAGCCACAGCACAGCAGTTCCCACACAGCCTTTACACGGCTGCAGGGGACTGTCCCACTTGGCACAGCTGCAGCCAGTGTCAAGCTGCAAGGAATTTTCCACACCATCACTCGATCCTGAGCCATTGTATCCCTTCCCCATAAAAAAATGTATTTCCCTAAATACAATACCTTCTTTGCTGTATTTACTGGAAAAATAGGGACTCGTTTTCCTTCTCTCCACTTGTGTTCGTGAGATAGACTCTTCTGTAAAGAAATAAACTTCAGCATTAAGAAAAAGCAGCAAGTATTTTGTTGTCATGTTTCACACACCACCTCTGCTTTATGCAGCGATGGAAACAGAAGGAATTCTTCTCGTGTACAGAACACAAGTGTACCTTAAATCTCCTCAGATTATTGCCTGACACTGTACAGCTTAAGAGCTTGGCACAGTAAGTTTCAGTTTTGAGTAAGTCTGCATTAATTTAAATGCTGTTGGATAAAAATGAGATTTGGATGTCAGAGCAGCTTGACCTGAAGCAGAACACGTGGCCTCAACAGCCAGGAGAGGCCTGGGCAGAAGGTGAGGGCTGGCATCACCCTCTGCTCTCACACGCACCTGGAGACATTGTGACTGCTGCGAGGCTGGTCCCGTGCCACAGCTCAGCATCCACCTCGGCGTCAGGCTGAACTCTCTGCTCACCCAGAGGCCCCGGCTCTGGCACCGTCCCTGTCTCCAGTCCATAGGATTTCTCCTCAGAGCCCACAGCAGGTGTGTCACTGGAGCAGGGCCCCTCCTTTGGCAGGTGAGCCAGCTCCCTCTGTGAGCCAGCCACTGGCCTGAGCCGTGCCCTGGCCATAGCTGGCAGACCTGTCCCTGCACCCACAGGGTCAGTGCCTGCTTCACCCACTCCCTGGCTGTCAGCTCCACGGACCCTCTTGTTCTGAACACACTTGGTCTCCCGTGTGTTAGAGACTCTTCTCTGCCTCTTGCTCTTGGCGTCACCTTGGTTCCTCCTTTCTGAGCCCTTCTCACGTTTCCTAGTTTGGACACTTCTCCCATCTGCCCTCTTTCTTCTGGTTTTCAAATTCTCCTCTGGGTTTGTGCCTACTACTACTAAATCTGTGCCTTCCACAGGAGATGTAGCATCTTCCAGGTGTCCACTCCCAGCCTGGATGTTCTGAATTCCAACCTCAGCACCATTCTGTGCATGGAGCTCCTGCACTTTGCTCTGACAATCCTCCTTTTCCAGGTCAGTCCTTGCAGCTCCTGTACCATATCCCTTCAATCCTGAGCGTGTGCTCCCTCGAGGAGCTGCAAAATCAAAATCTGCTGCTTTCAGTGTTGTCTCCCCAGTTTTCTGTAAATACTCCGCAAGTGCTCGTTTTGACCTCAGCTTCTTCCCTTCAGGGCTGTGGTAGGAAGGGAAAGTAAATTAGCAATGACTTTCTCATTCTACCGCTCTTTGCTTATACATCTTCAATAATACATGAAAACAATGCCAAAACGAAGGACAAAACCAGTTTTTGAGGGCGACGTGTGGGCAGATTTCTGTGGTCCTGCCAAGCTAGGCCACACGGAGCTCACCGACAGCCCCAGCCTCACCTTATGAAGTACACATCGATCCTCCCGGCCGTCCTGCCCGCCCGCCTGCGGCTGCTCACCCGCTGCCACCCGCGGGGGACAGCGCTCGGCCCCGCCGGGCCGTGGTCCCCGCAGCCGGGGCTGGGGCTGGGGCCGGGGCCGGGCCGTTCCGCCGCCGCCGCCGCCGCCGCGCCTCGACTGCCGCCCCCGGGACTGCAGGAGAAGAAAAGCCCGGGTAAGGTCCCGCTGCCGGCGGAGCTGCGGGGACAGGGGGGCAGGTCTGGGGACGGATCCCCACATGCCCCCGGGGCCGGGGCCGGGGCCGGGCCCGCATCCCGCATCCCGCATCCCGCATCCCGCATCCCGCATCCCGCATCCCGCATCCCGCATCCCGCATCCCGCATCCCGCTGACGAGACCCGCGCTCCGGGCCCGCTCCGCCCTCACCTGCCCACCGCTCCCGGCGCTGCCATCTCCCGCGCGCCGCTCACGTGATCCTCAGGGCCCGCCCCGCGCCCCGCCCCGCCCCGCGCCCCGCCCCGCGCCCCGCCCCGCGCGAGCGGCCCCCGCGGCGCTGGCAGCGCCCCCTGGCGGGGTGGCGGACCTGCGGGCCGCGGGCG